GGGTTACTTCGTATTTTCAACCTCAATAGTGGCTTCCATTTTTTAGAGTAAAACGATTAAAAAAGAATAAATACCGATATTCAAAATTTGAAGTCATCAATTGGTGTGACGACAACTTTGGATCTTCAATGCTCAAAGCGAGCGTAAACTTGGAATAAAAAATAGCAGATAACAGAGGTATGTGTAATATACCAAAAAGAGAAAAAATTTATAATTACAATATTATGTGAGATATACTTTTAAATTTCCCTACAACTTATAATGCAAAAGCATTTTAGAAAAGAGTTTTGTTATGGTACTCCTATACATGGAGTATTTTTTAATGTACGCAATGTTCTTTGACACTCATTACCCTTCTTCTGTAATACTAAATTTTTTTATAAAATAATTTTTTGTAATTAAAAGAGGTTGAATAGATATTTCTATAAAAACTAGAGGCATTCTTTTTGCAGTTAAACACAATTAATGTTTTTTTATGAGCAATGTCATATTTCATGTGGATCATATCATTATCAATTATATTTAATAAAAAAAAAAGTTTATATAAGTTTGCAACCTTAAAATATAGAAATAAAGATGTACCTAAAAAATCCGTCGTAAAAAGTTGTTTACATATTGGAAAACCTTTAGTTGATCATCTTGATATCAAGATGTATGAAAATAAAAAAAATAAAAGATTTCGATTCGACGAAATAGTGTATCATGCAACACATTATCTAGACAATCTATTTGTGTTTAAAAATCTACTTGATTTAAATCATTTTTAAAGTTTAAAATTTCATAATTAAAGATGAGAATAGATTCTCAAGCCATCCTAACAATTTTTATATCAAATTAACAGTTATGATAAAATTTAGACGTTCGCATTAATTGGATTGTTTAAAGTTGCAATCTTATACAAACCACACCCTTCAATAAATGCTTCTCTTTCTATTAAGGATTTCTATTCTATCTTTGATTAATTAGCTAAAATGCCCTAAGACAAAAAAGTTATTACATAGTAGAGTAAAGATATCTAAGTATAAAACAAAACGTTGAGTACATTAAGTAAATACTTCATAGAAATACACCAACAAAACCGGAAAAAGAAAGGGATATAAGAGAAAGTGAGGGGAAGAGAAAAAACAAACAAGATGGAAGCCCTTTTTTGTAGCAGCTTATGTGGTGACCGATTCAATTTATTTGGCCATATCAAAGTTCACCTTGTCGCTCTCCATTTCTTACATTTTTCTGCCTTACTAATGCTTCCATTCATTTTAAAACGCCATTCCTCACTTGAGCATCGAATTCTCTCGTTCTAGTCATCGATTCACTACCTGAAAATTGATTTGTTGGAAATTAGAAAGTGAAACGGGGTAATAAGAAATCAAATCAAGAGACACTATATAAATACTTTCAAGATTTCTGGATCTTTCTATTTCGAAGCAGGCAGAAATGTTTTTTCAACGTAATATTTGCTCCTCGCTAAATTAGCCTACAATTAAGTTCTGGGTAAATTTGTCTTTGGGATAATAGATTCAAAAGGCTTAATACTTATCTTGCTTGTAAAACTGTGCAAGTGTAATGATATCTCTAATACTGCAGTGGCCTTTCTTTAGAGAGAAATAGAATTAATAAGCTCAAAACTACACATTGATGTCTGTTTGATAGCGAGAAGATAAATGTACCTTAGAAATTATAAGTTCTTCTTTGTTAGGAAGAAAAAAGCTATTCAAGGAAATTCTGAGTGTATATGTTTAACAACTTGCTAGAATGTTAAAGAAATTCTAGATGCCTATGTTTGACGATATGTTGGAATATAAAGTCATGTTTATTTCAAGGAAAAATTTATATAGAGTTGAGGCTAAAAACAATGACATTAGTCCCACTTCAAAAAGTTCATTAAAAAGGGTTGTTTAGATGTCCAAATATCTTCAAATTGATCATCTCGATATCAAGATACATGGACGTAAGAACAAATTGGGTATCACAAGCTTTCGACATCAAGATGCATGGACATTAGAAATAGTGCATCTTATAATGCATTTTTGAACCGTTAATTTTCAAGTTTTCATAGATTTACTTGATCTACACTATTTTTAAGCTTTAAATGTTATAATTAAAGATGAAATAAATTTTAAAGCTATCACAAAGATTTTCAGTATTGAAATCATATTTCTCGATACTACTTGAAGGTGCGCTTTACTTTGATTGGCTAGAACCTTAGCTCTATACAAACCGCACCCTTATATAAATATTATTTAAATATTAAATATTTTTATTTTTATATTAGACAAAAAATATAATACATATTGTATTGTAAATATCTATTACATATATAAAATGTATTATATAACAATATAAGTCGTGGGAGGCAAGGCACACAGGGGATAGG